CACATCCCAGAGATGTGCTGGATGTGGAGCCAGTCTCGGCCTCTGGATGTGGGGCTGTGGCGGGTCTTCTGTCTGTGGTGTCTCCAAAGTCCAACTTCCGTCTCCTGGCTGCTGCTTCAGACACTTTGACGTTACTGGCCTCACTGATTACTTTGCCATCCAAAGGTGTGTGTGTGTGTGCGCGTCTGTGGACCGGGCTGTTGTCCTGGGTGAGGGGTGCCCATTGGGCTTACCTCTTGAGGTCAGCCCTGCCATTGGGTGCGGACGGAGGGTCTCAGAGGAGCCCTGGAGCTGGAGCTCACTGTCTTCTGGCCAGCCCTGCCTTCTGGGATGTATTGGAGTGGCACACAGTGTGAGCTCACTCTAGATCAATTTTGATTATGTAATTTCTTAAAGGAAATGTCAATTTATATTCAGAATATCCTGTTCAACAAAAATTAATGAATTGGAACACATTTTTCAAAGACTTCCATCAAAATGATTTTTGAAAAGAAGTTAAGAAAAGAGACAGAGAGAAAGAGAGAGAGAGAGAGAGAGAGAGAGGAGAGAGAGAGAGAGAGAGGAAAAATCCCCAGCTGTGAATGGTGGTAGATACCTATAGTCCCAGCTACTCTGGAGACTGAGACAGAAGGATCACTTGAGGATGAGAGTTTGAGGACAGCTTTAGCAACACAGTGAAACTCTTTCCATACTTATGAATCAAAAATTAATTAAAATATATTTTTAAAAAGAAATATTTGGGTGTTGAGAAGGATAAATGTCATTATATGCTGACTGAGAAATGTAAGATTTTATGTTTATATCCTGCTCTAAACTATCTGGAAAAAAATTACAGACTTGGGAAAAATCTATTTTGAAGTCTATTTATTTTATGACTTTCAGGGTCTGGTGGGAAAATCCTTTAGTTCTTCAAATTCACTGGCAAGCAATAACATCTAGCTAATGTCTCCTCAAGGTCATTAGTTAATTGCAATGGTTCTCAGAAGCTGCTCTGCTGTGAGCTCTCACCGACTGTTGGAACTACAAACTGATCTTCATAGTGGATCTATCAACTGAGGGTGTCCATTGTTGCAGGGCTGTCCCACAGATACAAAGATGAATAAAAGGGGATCCCTGGAGAAGAGCAAATACAAACTGCTCAGAGCACCTTACAGGAATTACATGGAGATTAGGTACCGTGCTGACGCCACGTAGAGATCTTAATTCGCCCCGAGGTAACAGGGGTGTCAGAGGGGTAACATATAAATCCTGAGGGGTAAATAGGAGTTGGTGAGAATGGTAGCCTTGCCATTCTGGGCATTCTGCGCAAGGATGGTAGTCTGTGTAAAGGCATGCATGTGATATTATTCTGAATTTGAGACGACTCGTTTTGGAACACACAGTTAGAGCACTTGGGAGGAGCGATTGAGAGGAGCCTGAATGGCAGACTCTTCCTTTTTCCCCTATCATCTGTTTCCCTCTTTCATTTCCTCTGTCCAGATGAGATAAAGGACAGAGACAAGTCCACCAGCCTAAGCAGATGTCCAGTAGGAAATGAAAACAATAAGCCCATTTTACAGTTGAGGAAACTGAACTGACACACAAAGAAGTTAAACATCTTTCCTATTTTTGATACCCCTGTATTATATTTCTCTTCAAATTATTAAGAATATGCTTTCTGTATTGTTAGGTAAATTATAATTTTATTCATTATATCAAGAGAGCTCTTTTGTAAAATCTAGGAGAGAGGATTTCTTGATGACGTTTTTTAATCTTCATGAGGCAATGGTGCCATTTTTAAAAAAAGAATGTGTGACACATACCTGTAATCCTCACATTCTAGAATACTGTAGCAAGTGCTCACAAGTTCAAGTCCAGCCTGGACAACACAGCAAGACCCTGTCTCAAATAAAAAGTGAAAAAAAAGGGGTGGGGGGAGGCTGGGGAAGGCAGCCAATGCCAAGGCCCTAGGTTCAGTCCTCAAAACCACAAAAAATTCTTTATATGATTCACATTTCACATAATCTAGACACTTAAGGTGTGTAATTTAATAACTTTCCGAGTTGTACATTCATCATTACAATTAATTTTAATTTATTTTTATTTTTCAATATGAAATCTTAAGTGAATCCTTAAGTGATCATCCTTATTTACTTCCAACCTTTTCAGTCCTAGATAACCATTAATCTGTTTTCTGTACTTATAGATCTGTCTCTTCTGAACATTTCATGTAAGTGGAATCACACTATATATTGTCCTTTGTAACTCACTTTCACTTTGCATAGTATTTCAGGGTTCATTTATGTTGTAGCATTTCTTAGTAATTCATTCTTTTCGATTGTAGAATAATACTTCATTGGATGGATATATTACATTTTATTCAACCATTAGAAAATGAACATTTCAGGTGTCTTGATTTTTTTTACTATTTTAAACAATGATGCAATTCTACTGGTGTATTTGGGTTATTTGTATTATATTAGCTTGTTAATTTGATTAGTTCTGATTGGTACACAAGTATTGGTTTGTATAGGTAATTTGCAGGGACCTTTAATTATACTTGGAAAAATATTTCTTTAGTGAGTACTAAATGGGATCACAGTCTATTCTAACTATATAGTTTATATTAGGAGAGAGCTGAGCAGACAATGTGGAATGTGACCCAATGGATATGATTTTTCCACAGTTCTTTCTTGTTAGATTTAACATTCTAAGAGATGATAGATGGAAAATGACCACAAAGTACAAAACAAATGTACTTTGAAGAAATTTTGAGAAATATCTTCCTAAGCGAAAAGAGAATAAGAAACTTTTGGATTTAATCTTACAGAACGATGCAATTCAAGGACCATTAAATTGTGTATAATGTACAATCCTTGTTTTGCCAGACAGAAAAGTTTCCTGATTGTACTCTGGAGATATTCTAAAACATTTCTAAGGCTGCTGTTAAACTAGAAAATTGTGAAATGGTAAGTTTTCAAATAAGTTCCTGTGGACTTCAGTCTGGCCTAAAGTTTCCTGTTTTTACAATTAACTCCTCATGTTTCTTTGTTAAGTGCGTGCGTGTGTGTGCGTGCGTGTGTGTGTGTGTGTGAAACCTAAAGATAGACAGGAAGTTTTCAGGGCCATCTGGACCGAGAGGGGAATCCAGATTTGTGTAAGGGATGAAATGGGTACCAGATGTAATTGGAGCAGGAATGCTATGTTAATGTACTATTCCTGTGCTAATTAATTCTCCAATCACTACTATCCAAAATGCCTGTTATCTGCTATAATTGGTGTTAATATTTTCCAGGGTATTAGTCTACAAGCAAATCAGGTTGGTACATCTTAGGATAAAGACATGTTAGTGCAAGCATAAATATTTCCATATTATTTTATCAGACTCCTAGGGATTACAAAGACAAATGGACATGTCAAGCACTGGTTGCTTCTTCTCCTGCTTCCTACTTGGTGCCCCTCTCCATCTGCACTTTATTCACCAAATGAAGCACTGTGATTAAGGAAGAGTCATCAAAACAGAAGGAAAAGCTTGCTAGCAGCCAGGATGACTCAAGGCTGTGCACTGACTAGGGCAATACAAGGCTCTACTCTAGACCACTGCTGCCACAGTAACGCATCCTAATGTTAATCAAGATGATTTTAGACAGGTCATTTGTTTGTTTCTTTATTCCCCAAAGCAAGACCTTTCCTCCTGTATCTGAAACCAAGTAGGAAAGGTCAGGTTTTGACTTTTTACTAAATATTCCTCATTGGGGAAAACGATTAAAACAACATCAATGCTAACAACAATAATAGAACAGTTGCTATTAGCTGCCTGCCATTCATTGAACCTATTGTTTTCCCTGCGTTGCTAGGCTCACAACTGTAGTGCTGTAGTCAGGTAGACTCGAGTCAGTTGTCAACTACCTAATTCAGAAATTGTTTGGTTTCTTAATGTATAGTAAAAACATTTTAATGCTAATTCAAAATATCATATATTTAATGTAGATATTTATGTAAATGTAGACACAGCACACATTATCAAACTATAATACTATACCTTTTTCCTCGAAAGAATTATGCTTCATATAGTCATTATATCCCGAGGAAAGAAGAAATACTGATTTTGCTGGGGAACCTTTGAAGTTCTTTCGATGGTTCCAGTTGTGCAGAGCACAGAGATTTAAGACAAGTATATAATTTGTTTATCACCCAGCTTGGATGACTTCCAAATGTTTCCTCTTTGTAGCTCTTAATTGTGTTCGGGTATTTTCAATGGGCAGATACTAGACAAGAAAAGAAATAAAAAAAAAAAAAAAACAATGTCTGAGTAACAGTCGCTCCACTCAGGGCCTATCATGTTGAAAGACAGCTTTAGTTATATATTCACTTGCAACTTTCGAAGAACATGCATTAACATGCTCTAAAGGACTAGCTTCTTTTTTCTTTTCTTTGGAAAGAAAAGAGAACCAAGTTGCGTCTCAAGTCCTTCTGCTATTTGCTGCAGTGTTTTCTTATTCCGTCTGACGGGGCAGAAAGCATGCTCAACGGATCAAATCAAAGTGTCCGAAAAAAAGACTATCAGCATCCCTCGTGCTTCCTTCGTACCTCAAAGCAGGCACTCCGGGGAAAAAATAAACCGTAAAGAGGCTACGACGAGCTAGCAGACCGACCCCTTCCTCCGCCTTTCCATCCCCGCCCCCCAGGCCTGGCAGCCGTCCCGGGCGCGAGCGAGGCGCCGGCACCGCAGCAGCTGCAGCGAGCGCGCGCCCGCGGCGGTTGCCGGAATCTGGGCGGCGGCACGGCCGAGGCGCGGGCGCGGCGCTCGGGAGCGCGCTCTATGCAGCGGTTTTCTTCTCCCACAATCCAGAGGCAGCGGCGCGGGAGGGGCGGGGCGGGGAGGCGGCGGAGGGATACCGCGCGGAGGGAGCGGCGCTCTCGTCCGGACGGCGGGTTCGCGGCGCCGGGCTCGGCGGGAGAGGGGCGTGCTGCGGCACTGCGGTTCTGAGGCCGTTACTCGGCTCCTCTGGAGAGGGCGGAGGAGGGGCGGGAGCGCGGCGGCGATTTTGTGCCAGGGCTTCCCAGAGGCGCGCTGGAGAGGCCGGCGGGGCCCCGGAAGCCGGGCGCCTGGGGACACCCCTCGGGACCTCCCGCCTCGGGCCGGGGACGAGGGCTGAGGCGGGCGTGAGGGCCGCGGAGGGATGGTTGGCTCCCGGGGGGAAGGGGCGAGCCCTGCGTGCGGGTGGTGAGGGGAGCTCCGCGGGTCCGAGCGGCGCCGTGCCCACCGGAGAGTGGAACGCGTGCCGCGGGACGCGGAGGGCCAGCCCGGCGGCTCCGGGCAGCTGGGACGCGGGCTTGCCTTTTGGCTTTCGCCGGGGTTGATTCATTGGGGCAGTATCGGCGGTCCGCATCCTCCAGGAGCTGGGAAACCTTGACGGGCTTTTTGTCTCGCTGCTCCAGCCCCTCGCCCTGCCTCCTCCTCCAGATGCCTTTTCTCTGCCCCTTCCTTGCCCGGTACAGACGTTTCCAACGCGAGCTGCTGCTCGTGGGGCTGTGGAAGCCACTTCACGGGATTTCGGCTCCTGTCCCTCGGGGGTTTTTGAGGAGGGAGAGTCCCCCCCTTCTCCTCCTCTATGGGATTTTCCTCTCTAGCCGAAATGGACTTTAATTGATTTCTTCTTCAATGTTGAGTGACTAATTCCCTAGGCGTTTTTTTGTGGTAGTTCCTTTTTTTTCTTTACCCCCCAAACACATTATCTGTAAAATGGAGAACGAAATTTTTACTCCTCTCTTGGAGCAGTTCATGACCAGCCCCCTGGTCACTTGGGTAAGTAAACGTCTTTTATTGTACATTTTATTGCGTTATTTGTTGCTACAGAGATGGAGGTGGGCGTTCACGTCTTACTCATCTTTATATTCTAGGTTAAAACGTTTGGACCTCTGGCTGCAGGAAATGGGACCAACCTGGATGAATATGTGGCATTGGTAGATGGAGTATTCTTGAACCAGGTCATGCTCCAAATGTGGGTAACTTGTTAAAAAAAATACCATACTGTGAATTTTCAGACTTTATGTTTTAAAGCCCTAACGTGGTTCTTTGGCCAGAAAAATTGTGATTTAAGAATTGTATCTTGAAAGGAGGTAATCTTACGAGCCCAGCCCATTTATCACAACCTAGTAATGATACCTATTAAAATTGTGAAACTTTGATTTTTCATTCACACAACCCTGTTATTGTCATTTATTGTTACCAGTGCGGAAATGCAAACAGAATTGTGTTGTCTTTGGTAATTTGGTAAAAACCAGAGGTGAGTAGAGGAGGAGCTGGGGGATGGGGAGGAGATGGAGAAGAGAACCTAGTTTCCTCAAAGGAGGAAAAAAAGAAACCACTATGAAGTTAGCTGCATTTAATAGAAAAATTTTTCTTGCTAACCTTTCTTACTAACTGATGAAGTAATAGATTGCAGAAGAGAATTTCAGGCAGTTGTGATTGAAGAGCACTGTTGCTGTAGCAAATAATTTAAATGCCTATAATTAAGTCTGATCAGATGACTTACTGTGTGAATTGTTAGACTGCTAGATACTTAGAAAAGAGTCCTCTAAATGTATTTTTATAGGTTTTTAAATGCAAATAACTGAAGTCTTAACAACCAGATGGTTTAATGGGCAAATCTTTGTCTTTCATGTTGTACTATAGTTTGCATTAAGAATGTGTTTTAGAGATGGGAGTTGTATATATTTGAAAACATAACCATGGCTGGATCAGTGAAATAATACTGTTTTATCATTATAGGTATTGTAGCATACATATTTCTAAGAACATTAGTGTAGGGTACCAAACTGAATACAGTAGTGCTTAAAGTAGTGTGTATTTAGCTTTGTTTCTTGAATAGAATCTGACTACAAGAACAGTTTACAGCTTCTAATTTAAAAGACATTCCTCTTTACGTTGGAAGTTTGTGCATTATAAATAAGTACTCGTCAGTAAATAAGTACTGCTGTGATAACTACGTATAAAATTTCAATTCTGTATTTTGTTATAAATTATTTTTCTATTTAAAAGAGGCGCAAGTCAAACTGGGTGTGGTGGCACACAGGTATAATCCCAGCCTTTACAGCACTCCAGCAGCTGAGGCAGGGGAATCACCAGCAGTGTGAGTACAAGGTTAGCCTGAATCATACAGTGAGTTCAAGGCCAGCAGGAGCTAGGTGGTGAGAGCTTGTCTCAAAAAAACTAAAACAAACCCTGTGTGTTCAGAGATTTGTACTTTGGATGTAGAGAGATTGGTATATTGTTCTTCATGTAGGAATTGATCCCATTGGGAAATATTATACTATTGTATTTTTTCTAAAAATGTTTGTTTGTAATTTTTTTTTTGGTACCATGGATCAAACTCTCAACCTGGTGGTTGCTTACCAGGCAAGTGCTTGAGCCACTGAGCTAAATTTCCAAATGTTTGTTTGTATAGACTCAGCCTAAAATATTGGTTTGTATAGACTCAAAAAAGTATGTTATCAAATACGTATGGGTGTGTGTGTGTGTGTGTGTGTATATATATATATATATACACACATATAATTTTTTTTAGAAAAAGGAAAAAAGTGTAGTTATTGCTTCCAGAATTAGTTAATAAGTTTTTAGCAGATAACTCATAGAATTAGTTTCTCTTTGAACTGTCCTACTGTTTCGTAAGCAAAATGGTAGAATAATTTAATTGGTTATTTTAGGGAATACACTATCAAAGGAAACCATTATGATAGATACTCAGGACTTTCAGGTCATTTGCTTATTTTTGGACAAATCTTGAATTTGTGTGCTGAACCTTAAAAAATAGATGTATTCACAACATAGAAAAATGTTTACTTTCACCTTTAATGGTTTTTATTTGTACGGTTCTTTCTTCAAAAAATATTTAGTTATTTTGAGTCATAGTAATTAGCTAAGGTACTAAAAATAAACAGTGCTTGTTTCCAACTTTGAGTGCATTTTTATATTTTAAAAAATATGTATATTTTGAAAATAATGATATTTCAAAATAGTGCTTGCCAAGTTGTCAGGGTTTTCGGGAGAACCAGTTGCTTTCTAAACCTCAAAGTCAAAGCTACTTTGGTGTTTTCAGTTCCACCTTTCAGTTTCTTTTAAAAGTTTTTTCGGTGTCCTAATTCTGTTGCAGATGACCTATATAAATTAAAGGAAATTAAGAAAAAAGAAGTACACTTTAATTTAAAAAATAATAACTTGCTAAAAGCAGATCATTATCAATGGTAGGGCAACAAAACAGTGCATTAATTTAAAAGGCGTATTTTGCTAATTTTGAAATTATTAGGATTTTTGTTAAATATACTTTACTCAAATGACTGTGTAATTTAATGTAATCTATTAAATTGCTAGTTGAGACTCTATCCAGGAAGTTAAATAAAAATTAATCTAATTTCTAGATAATATTTGGTCATAGAATTTGTGAGCAAGAACCTTTTGGAAATGAAAGTATATATTTTTCTTCATGTTTCTTGTGCATTAAGTTTGTTGAACTTCTTGGATCTGTGGGTTTATGGTTTTTATGAATGTTTGAAACTTTCAGCCATCATTTCTTCAATTATATATCTATATCTCCATTCCTCTTTTCTCCTAGAATTTCAATTACATGTATATCGGATGGCTTGACATTGTCTTACTGATGTTCTTTTCAGCTACGAATTATTGATTGTGTGTTCTTGCTTTTTTGCATACCTGGTAATTTTTTATTTGATGTTAAACATTTAAATCTCACCTTGTAGGGGGCTGGGGATTTAGCTCAGCAGTATAAGCTCCTGCCTTGCAAGCAGACAGTTGTGAGTTCGATCGCTGGTACCGATAAAAAGGAAAAAGACCAAAAAAAAAAAAAAATCTCACCTTGTTGTTGTATACTGGATATTGTTATATTCATTTAAATACAAAAATCTTGAGCTTGTTAAATTAGTTGGAAACTAATCAGTTTGATCTTTTTAGGACTTTTAAATTTTCTTAGGCAGTACTGTTTGGTTGCACGATGGAGATAAAACTCAGTACTGTGGTTAATGGAAGCAGGAGCTATCTGGTATTATTCTTTTTAGTACTTTTGGTGCTTCTTTGCATGTCCTTGATAGTTTTCTCACTCTTAAGTATAGACAACCACTGAGCTGAAGACTTGAGGGACATCCTCAGCAGGTATTTCTCTTTGTGTAGCTCTTTTTGGTAACTCTGCCTTGTATGCTCTAGAGGCCTTGTCTCCAGGCACTGCTCCATGGTCCTCAGCTGGGGAGACCAGTTTGTACTGCCTGGTTTCTCTCTTCTCTGTCCTGTGGCCTGAACTCTTTCAAGGGGGTAAGCTGGGACAGCTGTTGATCTTAGGTTTGTTTCCATCTATCAGGGATCATCATCCTTTGTTGCCTAATGTCCAGTGTCTTGAAAGATGTTTCGTATGTCTTTATTTTTTTTCCAGTTGTTTCAGGCAAAAGTGTAAACTTGTTCCCATTAGTCTATCTTGGACAGAAGTAGAAATCTGTTTGTATATGTCTACATTTTTGCACTGCTTGCCCTATATTGCTTACTACTTTTAGATGTGACATAGACGTTCATTATACAAATATTATTGTGGAATTTTTTCATGTAAAGTATTAACTATAAGAATATTGATTAATTTAGTCATGTTGGTATTGGCAGTTTGAACTCAGACTCTGAACGTGAAACCTGACTTGTTCATGATATTAATTGACCTGTTTTACAGTTTTAGAGTTTGTTCTCTGACTTGGGATTCACCGTATTCAAAGATGAAATTTGATTTCATTGGGTAACCTCTTGCATCAAAGAATCTCTGTAAGGGCTTATGACGTGACATCATTCATCTTCAACTAATGTGAAGAGGGCAAAGCTGTTTAGGGTTCTAGAATGATAGGCCAACTCTTCTATGTGCTGCAGGGCATTTTTCTACTTCTACCAAATGACATTTTTTTCTCAGTGCTAGTTATCAGTCATAGAGTTTGGTGTCAGGGAGCAGAAATAATCATTTTTTGTTTGAGAAGTCATTTGGTTCTGTTACCAGTGTTGAATATTACTTGCTGTGAGTTTCTAAGGGATGTATGACTTTGTAGGTAGCATCATAATCTTAAAATTTAAGAAGTATGCTATTCGTATTACCTAAGCAGGTGAAAATATGGGTATGGTATGGTTTTTAAATACTGAGAAAATTGATAACAGTATCAGGATAATGTTTGAAATTGTTTTTGTAATTCAACCTGATTAGCTATAGAGATTTGTATTTAGAATATCTGGTAGTTGTGATAAATTTTTCTTTTAGGCTTGAGTTTGAAGTCATTATGAAAATTCTTTTTTATTTTATTTATCTAAGGGCCTTGCACATGCTAGGCAAGCACTCTACTACTGAGCTACATCCCCAGCCTGCAAATTCCTTTTTAATTAAAGCCCTGACCCCTAGTTACGCCAACTTCTTATTTTCTAGGCCTCAACTTGATAAAGTGTACACAAGAAACCTTTTGTTTAAGAGGCAGTTGACTGAGAAATGTTCCTTTGACCTAGCAAGTCATAAGATTTCAAAAGTCAATTAAAGCTGGGCATTGTGATGCATATTACCTTTAATCCTAGCAGTGAGGAGGCAGAGGCAGGTGCATCACCTCAAGTTTGAGGTCAGCCTAAACTCCACAGTGAGTTCAAGAACAGCCCGAACTACCTATCTAAAAAAATTAATTGGGTTTATGACTCTATAATGTAAAATGTATAAAATTTATAGAATGTCTGTATTAGTCATCTTTCCCATTTTTCGGACAAAATATCAGGTACCTATAACTTAGAGGAGAGGTTTAATTTTGCCCATGGTTGTGGGGTTTTGATGCATGTTTGGCTGGCTCCACGTCATAATCAGTATTGTAGAAAGGCATGGTGGAGAAAAGCTGCTTGCCTCCGGGCTGCCAGTAAACAGAGAAGAGAGAGTTTCAGAGGAACTTAATTTTCTCTAAAAGCATGCTCCAAAGTGACATGCTTCTTCCA